CGTTTGTTAGTCAAGTGACATCTTTTGAATTCTTAGAGATTATTAGACGTAGATTTTTTTTACAATTTCATTAATATCATACGTCTAGTAACCCCTGTCAGGTATCTGTAATAAGGGTAAATTATTTTTGATTCAAATTACATTATTTACTTTTTACTCTTTACATTTATTCATAAACTAAGGCAATTTAATTTTGACAAAATGATGTCGAATTTCATTGTCATCCATTGAGGACAATGTTGTCATCTATTAATGTACGTCAGAGTGTTCATTTGCGATATTTGTTTTATATCATTGGCCTATTAAATATTGATTGGCATTATAAAATAGTAGTAGTTAATACAAAGGAAGTTAAATTATTGCTATGCCGATATACACCCAATAGTATGGTTGTCTACTAAAAAGGTTCTCTTTTAATCACAGTTTTGTATACACAGTATCCAGCATAACAGTTAGAAATAATGGCTGGATATTTTAAGTATTTTAAATCTTATCAGTTAGTTATTATTAGTTTATTTAGCAGTAAATAGATGGCGCTAATTTTAGATTAAAACTATGAAAGCCAAAACTCTAAAGTTATGTAAATGTGGCCAGATCATAGAATTGATCATATTATCGTGAAGTGCTGGACCACTTCAAATATCGCAATCATTTCATGATAGCCTATTATTACTGACCATCTCTCCATAGTATAAAAAAAAGTCACTTCCCACCATCTGTACGGTTAGATCTTTTAAACTACGCAACGAATTTTGATGAGGTTTTCATCAATAGACATAATGATTCATAAAGAAGGTTTATATATGTAATACATACATATTATCTGTATCTATAATCTGTAAATATAAAAATCAATTGCTGTCCAATAGTCTCGCTAAAACTCACTGATTTTGATGAAATTTTTTTGTGTGTATTTAATTGGATCCCCGTATGATTCTGATTTGTTGGTTTAGATTTTATATTCGGTAGGTGGTGCTGTTACTGACAATCAGAAATCATCGCTAGTGTCATATAAATAAATGGCAACGTTTGTCAAATTTATCCTCAATCTACAATGATCTATGATTATCTATTATTATTATACAATTGAATTTACGAAGTCGATTCTCGTTACGCCATAATATCATACGAAAGTACCATCTAGTAATATCAGCGACAGTAGATTGATATGCGGCTGTGGTGATCCTTGGGCGCGAACATTTATATATATTATTTGAATGTACGCGATGAGGCATAGAGTTATGAGGATTCTGACTATCGGCGCTGCTAGCGGTGAATAGTGAAACTATTTTACGATATAATTAGAATATTTTGAAAAAGCATTGTTAGTTTTAGTTGTTAATTTCTTCATACAATGTTTATTCATCGATTTGGTCAAGCCTTATCATGATATGGTCAACAGACAGTGCTAAATTTCACGAAATGCCACAATTTCATGTAATGACCGAATATTCATGATAAAACCAATTCTACGATCTGGCCATGACGTATACAAAATACCTTTAAATAAAGTATAAGTGTAATGAAAGTTTTGCAATAGTCGCAGGCAAACCAATGTTAATCAGTTCATTATTATATAGGTATTAGTAATTAAACTAAAAACTATCTGAATTTTTACAGACTTTACTATTATCTATTCAAATTATTACTATTAAAATGAAAAACTTAAAATAAATCTTAGAAGTTTCAAATCACTTAGTAAATATAATTATTTAACCATATAAATGTAAGTAATGTTATAGTTATAGTAACAGATAATTGAAAGCTACATAATAAATAAACTTTTTGCTTTTTATGACAGATGGCGCTGTTTCAAAAACGTATGATGTGGATCGTTGGCGTAGTTTCAAATTATTACATAACAGTCAAAACAAATTTTAAACTTTAATTATAAATATTGTATTCGTTTAAACAAAACACTACGTTATCCTGCTTATAACTAACAAAATCAAACATAATAGAAAATTAACTTCTAAAGAAAGGAAAATATTTAACCCTCATTTTTTAAGTTCCGTAATCAGATAAAACGTAGCCTATAAGTAGCCCCGGGTCACCAACAAAAATGTATACAAAATTTCATGGAGATCTGTCCAGTAATTTTTGCGTGAATTTTTAATACACAGACAGACAGAACGACAGACAGACAGACAGACAGATGAAAATTCTAAAAAGCAGTAATTTGGCTTCAGTATCCTTTATTTAATCCCCTGGACTTGTTATTTCCAGGAAATGTTAGAATTACAGACACGACTTTTCTACAGATTTATTATATGTAGGTATAGAAGATTAGTACCCGGATGACCGAACTTTGCTCGGTTTTTTTTTATGGAAATTACATTTAGATACAAATTACATACTGATGAATAATATTTTTGATCTTATTGACATAATAGAAAAAAACTGAACTGGTTATTTGAATAAAAAATCATGAGTTCAATCGGACCGAAGATGGGACGCGATTGGTTCGCGAACCAAGGCATTACGATTTTGCGACCGCTCAATATCCACTTGAGCTATTACGATCATTTAACACAGTGTCAAAATTTACCTTCTTATATTGTAGTAGTTTTTTATTGCCAGAAAATACGGACAAAAAGATATTTTCTAAAAATAAATCCTAGCTAGATCGATTTATTGCCCCTGAAACTTCCCGGACACTAAATTTTATGAAAATCGTTGGAACCGTTTCCGAGATTCCAATTTTATATATACATATATATATAGATTGAGAGGTTCTATGGGCAGCTGTACACATTATCGTTGGAGCCACACGCAAGTGTGAGTAACGATCCAAGAGCAAGTCTTATCCGACATTATTTCGATGACATCCCGGACGTTAGTCTGAGTGAGATTAGAATGGCTCTCCAGCACCTTAAAAACGGCAAGTCCCCGGGCGAGGATGGAATTACAGCGGAGCTTCTGAAAGCGGGTGGAACACCGGTACTGAAAGTCCTTCAGAAGCTCTTTAACTCTGTCCTCCATGATGGCACTACTCCCGAGGCGTGGAGCAGAAGTGCGGTGGTCTTGTTCTTCAAAAAAAGTGACAAAGCTCTCTTGAAGAACTACAGACCGATATCCCTTCTGAGCCGCGTCTACGTGCTGTTTTCGAGAGTCATTACGAACCGTCTCGCACGCAGACTCGACGACTTTCAGCCTCCCGAACAAGCCGGTTTCCGAAAAGGCTTTAGCACCATAGACCTCATACTCATACTCATACTCATACCCTTCGGCAAATTGTACAGCAGTCCGAAGAGTATAATCTGCCACTTTGCCTGGCGTATATGGACTATGAGAAAGACTTTGATTCCGTCGAAATTTGGGCGGTGCTACAGTCTCTTCAGCGGTGCCAAGTTGACTGTCGGTATATCGAAGTGCTGAAGTGTTTGTACAGTAGGGCTACGATGGCTATCCGAGTACAGAACCAGAGTACGAAACCTATCCAACTGCAGAGAGGTGTAAGACAGGGTGACGTTATATCCCCGAAACTCTTCACCGCTGCATTGGAAGACGTTTTCAAGCTACTGGACTGGAAAGGATACGGTATTAACATCAATGGCGAGTACATCACTCACCTTCGATTTGCCGACGATATAGTCCTTATGGCAGAATCGCTAGAGGACTTAAGCCCTATGCTCAATGACCTCAATAGTGCCTCCCAACGGATAGGTCTTAAGATGAACATGGACAAAACAAAGATCATGTTTAATGTCCATGTCACACCTATGCCAGTAGTTGTTGGGAGCACTAAACTCGAAGTTGTTGACGAGTACGTTTACCTGGGACAAATAGTCCGACTAGGTAAGTCCAACTTCGACCGAGAGGTCAATCGACGGATTCAACTCGGCTGGGCAGCGTTCGTGGGAAATTACGACGCATCTTCTCGTCAGGTATACCTCAAAACCTGAAAACTAAGTGGGTGACTTACGGATCTGAGACGTGGTCCTTCACTGCTGGCCGTATGAGGACACTCAAAGTCGCTCAGCCAGCTATGGAGAGGGCTATGCTCGGGGTTTCTCTGCGTGATAAACTTAGAAATGAGGATATCCGCAGTAAAACCGGACTGACCGACATAGCCCAACGGATTAGTAAGCTGCAGTCGCAATGAGCCTGCCATATAGCACGAAGAACCGACAACCGTTGGGGAAAAAAGGTTCTCGAGTGGCAGCCTCGTACTGGTAGGCGTAGTGTAGGGCGACCCCCCACTAGATAGAGTGACGACCTGGTAAGACATGCAGGAAGTCGATGGATGTAGGCGGCTCAGGACCATGCTTTGTGGCATACTTTGGTAGAGGCCTATGTTCAGCAGTGGACTTGTGAAGGGCTGTAATGATGATGATGATGATGATGATGATATATGTATATACAAGAATTTCTCGTTTAAAGGTGTAGGATATACCCCTAAAGGGGATGATATCTGTCCTTTACGGATGTACGCGCATATCAAATCTGTAGAATTCTTTATTTTCGACTCTCAACGAACACAATTTTGCTTTGGTAACATTCATAGACTTATGCCGGGTTGTCACGATACGTCAGCTCGGACCGTGTCACGTCAGAGTACACTCGTACGAGTCAGCCTCATACGAGTGTACTCCTATAGTGGTTTACACGATCATAGTGTACTTTTATCAAAGTTCATTCAATTTTGTGTCAACTCACGGAACACACTGATCTTCTCAACATGGAACAGACTGATCTGCTGTTGCAAGGTGTCGCAGTTGTTGCAGATATACTAATAAAAGAGTTGAACCATATAAGCAAAGAAACAAGCAATGTAAGAAGAAAGAAGGAACGCAAGAAGAGATCGATTTGGACCCGCGAATGGATATTAAGGCGTGAAAAGCTGGGAGCATCAGATAATTTTCTCCGAGAAGTACGCATGGAAGACAGGGCCACTTACAAGAATCATTTGAGGCTGAACGGTGAACAATTTGACTATCTGTTACAAAAAGTAATGTCGAAAATACAGAGAGCTGATACAGTCATGAGAGCTGCTCTACCTGCCAAAATAAAGCTACAAATATAATAGCTAATATATTAAAATAGCGATTCTCATTAATTTGAATCCCACCAGTGCTTCGAATTGCCTCTTGTAATTGATCATCTACTACAAATTCTGGTGATGTTTCTTGGCTTGTTGCATCACGTTGGATCTGAACTTCTATGCCTTTCTCTTGTAATGCATCATTTACTACAACAAGTTGTGATGATTCTTGCCTTGTTGCGTCACGTTGAATATGAATCTGAGATTCAAGATTATTGAATAAATGTTCTGGTATTTCAAATGTATATTCATTCGATGTCGTAGAATTGTTTTCCAATTGCATTCGATTTATTCTTTTCCGTTTTACTATTTCTATTATTTCAGACTGAACATCTAAAGCATCTATTAGGGGCAATTGTCGGAGCTGGCTGGCGATATTTTCGGCGAAAAGGGAGAATTCATCTCCTATTTCTTTATGACAAAGTACTTGGTCCTTGATACTATTAAGTGTTTCATTAGACTTCTCGATATGTTGAGGTACTAATGGTCGTTTAAGTGGTCGCTTCTTCTTGATAGTATTTTGTGGCTTAACGAATATTTCACTATTTAACTGCTGGGAAGATGATGGTGTTTGAAGATCTGCCGGTGGCGGAAGAGGTCCTGGTATGTCCGATGAAGGTTCGGCGAGAATATCTGGTGAAGGGGCGATGGGAATGTCTGGTGAAGGGGTGATTGGAATGTCTGGTGAAGGGGCGATTGGAATGTCTGATGAAGGTGCGGCTGGAATGTCTGGTGAAGGTGCGGCTGGAATGTCTGGTGAAGGTGCGGCTGGAACGTCTGGATTTGAAGAGCTGTTATCTGAATTCTCCTGTAACAAAATAATAATAGAAAATTAAAAATTTACCTTGTTTTTTTTTCAGATCCCAAAGACAACTGAAGAATGGACAAATATTTCGAGAGTGTTTGATAACCGTTGGAATTTTCCTGAATGTTGTGGAGCCTTAGATGGCAAGCACGTCAATATACAACAACTAATCGACAGTGGAAGTGACTTTTTTAATTATAAAGGTTACTTTAGTACAGTACTTTGGGTTCTGGTAGACAGCAACAACTGTTTTGTATATATTGATGTGGGCAGCCAGGGTAGATTAAACGATGCTTCAATATTCAGTAATTCAATACTTAAAGAGAAATTGGAAGATGGGACTCTGAATTTTCCTTCTTGGGGTGTCATTTTAGGAGACGAAGCTTTTCCACTGAAACAGTATTTGATGAAACCATATTCTCGAAGATTAACATTGACAGCCGAAGAGAAAACTTTTAACTACCGTCTTTTTCGTGCCAGAAGAATAGTAAAAAATGCATTTGGCATTATGGTGTCAAAATTTAAAATATACCGGACTCCAATATATTTGTGTCCAGACAAATTTGACAAAATTGTCAAAGCAACTTGTGCACTTCACAACTGGCTCATGAAGACAGCCATGCACTATTATGCACCAGTGAGAACAATGGACACAAATGACAGACCTGGTTTGTGGAGACAGGAACCTAGTTCAAATTATATTGCACATGTTGTGAATCAAGGTAGTAACCATCCATCTCGGTTGGCAGAGCAAAGAAGAATAAAAATCCCATGGCAAAGTAGCAGAATATTTTAAGAATATCTGTGTTCTTATATTTTAACGTGACATTATAAAACAGCTAATAAATTAAATACAAATGTTTATTGTTTTATTATAATAAATAAACTTACCACATTCTGATAAGTTTTCCTGCTTTTTATGACCCCAGATAAAAATCTGTCGGTGATTTCGTACCAAGCCAACGAAGGAACATACACATCATTAGCTCCTGATCCGGTCCCGGTAGATTATTTAATTTTTACTTTTTCCTGGGTGTATGTGCTGCGAATGTTATGTTTATTATTTTCGTGTTCAACTCTTGAATTGTAACCTCCATATTGAGGTTATGTATAATGCACTGAATAGCGGCATTCCGGGCATCTTTGTTTTTATAGTCTTTGAGTCGCACGTTCCACAACACTAGTTCTTCTTCATACAGTTCCACGAACGTTTGAGCTGGTACACTTAAAAGTATTGATGGTTCATTAATTTGTTTTTAATGTACCAGTACAACCAATCACAAACAATTGACGGTACCTTTTTAACCCGCGATTTGTTTGAATTGTGAATGAGCCGCAAACCGACTGAATCCCGAATGATCTGAATAAACAGGCAAATCGAATACACCATGCAGACTGCAGAGTATCAGAAGTATTTATTATTTAAGGGTTTTTTATTATAATACTGTTACCTATATTAAAAATTATTTTACATTTTATTCTATTATATTTATTAATTACATGATTTAGAAATATCATTTCGTTGAGTTTACTAAAAATAACGCTTCAAAAGATTTCATGACAAATTATTTATTTAAATTTTGTAGCAAATAAATGTTACAATCACTATTTTTAGACATGTAAAGTAAGATGACATTGTGTATTGTTAGGGATGAAATTTAAGAATAAACAAATTTATTAAATATTATATTAAAAATTGAGATTTTTGTGTTCAGCCATCTAGAGTCGATCGTACTTATCACCTTAAAAGTTAATAAGTTTTAGTTCGATAAAATTACTTTATTACCTATGTCAAGTAGTAGATGGCGCTATTTCAAGTAGAAAATTTTCGGTTCCCAATGGATCTTACAGACTCAAAGAGTACTGGAGCCCGAAATGATCCATTTGCATGATCGATCCGAATGTACCAGTACACGTGACGAAATGTACTAGAATGATTCGGTCGTAAGAAATGAATGATTGAATCACGTTCCGCCCACTTTTTCCTTGACGCTGCCATTTTTAATTAAAATGATCCGCGCTGAGATCCGAGTGAAAGGGGAAAATAGAGCATCATCCGATTCCGATTCCACTCGGATTACATGCCGGCATCCGAGTACGCTCGGATTACATGTTTACGTAGTAACGTCCGAGGTCCGAGTAGTAATCCGAGTGCACTCGATCCGAGCCAACTTATCGTGTCAACCGGCTTTACTGACATGTCAATGTCAAAGTTAATTTTAACAGGTTTTCTCATAGAGACACTAACTTAGAAGTATATATTGGGTATGTTCCGAAATACAACGCAGTGTACTGTCCAATGCAAATGACGTCATGAATCGACGCTATACTGGTGATTCGTTCCAAAACATTGGACAGTATATGACGTCATACTTTTGCGCCATTTGGAAAAGTGTTGGCGATTATTTTGTCATTTTGTGCTCCAAAAATCATTATATCCTCCTAATGGATATACCATCAATTATTCTATAATTTTTGTATTTGAATAAATAGAAACAAATTCTGGCATGCTTCATTCGGCAAACACACAATTAAAAATTGTTTTATTACGGCCGGATATCCGACACAATATGGCGGTGGCACGCTAGTACAATAAAGTGTCAAATGATACGTCATTTGCATTGGACAGTACACTGCGTTGTATTTCGGAACATACCCATTATCTCTATCTCCGATAAGAGTAATAGTGTTCTGTGATCTCTATACATAGAGATATATACTATCTCTACGTTCTAAGTCAGTGGCATAGACAGGCATAGATTACTGTATATATTGGTCGGTGGGTTTTCTTGTTGTATTGTAAATAATTAGAATACATTTGTTCCTGAGAAACTACATCAACTATATAAAAAATGATTGATTTAAATAGCAAAATAAACTCATTTTTTATTTTTAATTCTACCTTCGGTCCTAAAGAAGGAGAGGTATGTATATACGTATTTTTAACATTGTTATGCTGACTTTTCCAAAACTTTTAACAACCAACTAGCGATCAATTTTATTTAGGAATTAAAAAGGATATTATTTTTCCATCCAAACCAAGTGACCGCTGATGCGAGAAAAATACAGGTCGGTTTATGTGAAGCAGTTGTAAAATTTATGTCGTAAGTATAAGTTCTATGTTAATAACTTCTTAATTATTAAATAAAATAATTTTAAAATTTTGAATTAATTTTCTTCAGAACCTTTTCCTCCGAACCTTGTGAAGCTCTGCAAACTCAAACAAAGAGATATATATTTTTCCAGCCTGAAAAAAATTATTGGATGGTGTTGGTAATACTAATTTTTTACTACACGTATTTATTTAAAGTATTTGTTTTTCTTATTTTCATATTATTTTAGGTTGTGAGAATGCCATACGCAACTAAATCAATGTCATCGATTGGAGAGAAAAGGGGAGATATGGTAATAATATAGGTAAATTCATAATTAACATGAATGGTAAAAACACATATCTTTATATTGATAATTGAACTTGTAGATCCAACCTGTAATGATGCAAAATTTACTTGTAACTGCATACAAAATGTTCAGGATGTTTGTAGGCTTATTCACTGATATTACTGCAGAAGATATCTATACTAAATGTCAACAGTTTTTTACTCCTGTAAGTTGAAGACTGTGAACATTATCATGATGCTGTTTTATTAATTATTATAATACAAAATAAATTATAATTTTTAATTTCAGTACATACTGTCAAGAAACATCACAAATGATGTAACAAATGTTATTCAAGGCATCAACTACCTACCACTGGAAAAGAATTCATTTTTCAAAGTTGTTTGCTTTATAGATCTTTTAGAAATAAATTACCCAGATTTTAAATGTATTGCATTTATTTACAATGAACAACTCATTTGGTTTGTAAATTTGATAAATTTACCTGTTTTGATTTATTAATGTTAAATTTAACATACTTTTAAGAACACCTCTCCATAAAATGTTTTAAAAAATCAAAATAACAAACCAGGTTATTGTTTACATTCCACACATTTTTTTCAGGAATGGACTTTCAACAGACAACATGCTGACCCTGTATCAATATTTAGTACAGAGTTTGCTTCCAAAACAAGTGGAAAAGGAGATACAAGGAGGTGCTGTTACAGCTGCACAAAGACATGGTCGTTTCATTAGTCCTCCTGATGGCATTCATACACTTGATGACATTCAGAAACTTATTAAAGTACACTTGAAGTTAGAAGATGATACAGAAACTAAACAATATCATTTAATCATTTATAGAACTCTGAGTGCAACTATCTGTTTAACCGTAGATGGTGAGTAAATTACAAGTTTGATATCTCTTCCTAAATTATGGTCTCATGTTCTTATGGACATAGAGATTTATATTTTAATAAGCAGTACCAAAATTATTGGCTAAATGCAAAATTTGACTTTTTAATTTAACACGAAATATGTAAAATACTCATTTAATGTTTAAATCCTGGCTGAGTGATAAGTGATATCATTGGCATGGAGCATATATGTACTACCTTTAGTATTTACACATATAGACACAGATTGAAAACAATGTCATGGATAAAATACCACAGGATACCTGTGTTAAATAGCAGCTTAATGCTTCTGTGTTCCATATGGTAAGTGTAGAGAATCGGAGACCCTTTACACTAGAAATGAAGTGTTTCTTCATCTTAGTCTTCAGAGGTAACAACACATTTATTAGATTTTATTGTACAGGACTCAATTATAACACAAAGTACATTGTAATATGCATCATATACTTGGGTATGGCAGAAGAAACATGAAAGTAGAATAAATGCAGTTGAGATGAGAGCATTAAGAAGTATGATAGGAGTTAAACTGAGTGACAGGATAAGAAATAGTGAGATAAGGAAACGTTGTGGTCTGAAAGAAGATGTAGTGACAAAAATTGAGAAAGGTATGCTGAGATGGTTTGGCCACATTGAGAGAATGAATGAAGAACGATTGACGAAAAAAAGTGTATAAGGCGAGTGTGAATGGAAGTGCTGGAAGGGGTAGACCTAGGCGGACTTTTCTAGACCAAATTAGGGACGTCTTGAAAAAAGGCCAGGTTAAGAGTACCCTAAACCGTAGAGCATGTGTGAAGGGAATAATGAAAGTAGACGAAGCGAAACAAGTATGTAAGGATCGTAGCAAGTGGAAAGAAGTGGTCTCTGCCTACCCCTACGGGAAAGAGGCGTGATTATATGTATGTATCATATACTTGTCCTTATAATAGTTATATTGTCATATGATCACTGGTGTAACTATGCAACCAAGGGCCCCAGGGAAAAATTAAATTGGGGCCCTATTTGAACTAAATTAAATACTTTAAAGGTGCAAAACTACTTCACTACTACATTGCAGGGCATAATAAAGCATAGGTACTATGTAATATATGTAAAACAGCAGATAACATTTAATAGTAGTTCCTAATCTACACATATAAAGGAGGATATCCTGAGTGACTGACTCATTTATCAAAGCATAGACCAAACCACTATATGTAGAATTCTGAAAATTAGACCGTAGCTGCCTTTTATAACATAGGCATCAACTAAGTAAGGATTTAGAAAAATTCAACCTCTAAGGCGATGAAATAGTTTGTATGAATCTTTTTATTTGACTTGAAACTTACTAAAGGGGTACTGTGTATACTACGTGGAAGAGCCACCCTGCAGCTACATTATGGTTGTAGCATGAATGGGTCAGCTCGTCCGGTGAAGGCCCACACTCACAGAATACCAACGTAAAATAGCACCTTAATGTTGCTGTGTTTCTACTAAAACAAGGCATTCCATCTTAGTTCTCAGGAGTGACATTGCATCTCCACTTTGATTCTTAATTGAGTATAAATGTAGACGTCTATGGGCCACATCATCCACTAACCATCAGGTGAACTGTGTGGATTAAATTCTACCATTAGTAACAGGGGCATTACCATATAGTGGCGGACTAAGATTATTCATGACCCCATATCATTCCATGGGTATCGTAAGATAAAGGTGAACAAATCTCAGGAGATGGGCAGTAATGTCTTCCTAATAACAACCAAAAATAAAAAACTGCGGTTGCCAACCCGCTTACCAAGCGTGGCGACTATGGCTAATATCCTCCCTATGAGGGAGGTCTATGTTCAATAGTTGACTTTAATAGGCTGTAACGGTAATGGTAAGAGGGGGAAATAGCATGTTACAATTTTATGAAACTTTATTTAACGGGGCATTTGACTGAGAAATACTGAAAGTACTTACTCTTCTTCAAAACAACCCCTTACAGAGGAGGGCCATAAGGTTCTTAAGTTTGTGTGGAAAAAAATTTATTAATAATTATTTTATTAGAAAGTGGTGCATATTTCTCGTGAATTAAAATAATAAAATTAACATTTTTTATTTTTTCAAAATCTAACCGGCTTTAAAACGAGGGTGCAAGTTCTATATGAAAAATATTGATATGGCAGACAGCTCAAACTGTAGAACTTAGAAGCATGAAATTATGACAACATTGCTTACTTTTATTACATAAGCATTAGCTAATATAGGATTTTGAAAACTTCAAACCCTCAGAGTAAAATTACCTGTTGAGTACTCTGTTAATAAAATTTTAGAGATTTTTTACGGAAGGTTAGTACGTACAATACATTCTAATAAAGTTTAAATAGCGGAAAAAGTTCAATATTTTGTAATTAAGTAGTCAAAAAAATCTAAAACAATCATACAGTGCTTTTTAAACATAAATGACACCACAACATGTAAATAGAACCCGTGTCAAGCCGGTGTGGGTTGCTAGTAATATTATAAATGTGAAAATTTGTATGTTATGCTTTCACGTAAAACTACTGTATGGATTTGGATGAAAGTTTGACATTTGTTGGACTAGGATATTATAGTGTTGGGAATGAGAGTAAAAAAGTTAAAGGAAATAAGAACAAATAAAGGTAGAACTGTAATCTCCCACCCGTTATAACAGTAAAGTATTGCGAAGGCGACTAAGAAAGATCAGTTTTTAATTCTATGATATGTAATTTTATACCCATTGAGGCATTCTACTAGTGTAGGCAAGGAATATTGTGTTGCTGAGGCTGCCCTTTGTTACATTAAGATGAGTAGTAATGCTATTGGTTTGCATACTTTAGTGATATCTTGTTGGTTTGCATACATTAGTGTTATCATGTAGTGGGGTCCTTCATGTTACAACAGTTGCTTGATTGTGACGGGAACATGTAACAGTTGATCGAACTGTATTGCTCTATACTGAATGTATGCTGCAGTGCATCATCATCAGAATTAATCTAAATAATTATGAGGATAATTTCTAACATCAAAAGTGGAATAATTTCTTACATCAAAAGTGGGATTAAAATCTTGTCTTGTAGCTCTACATTCTAAGTTTAATAACAATATGTATAACTTTTTCAAACGTCATTCATGAAGGCTGAGGGGCCGCTTGAGCTTGGGGGCCTCGGGGCACTGCCCCACCTATCCCCGAGGTAGCTATGCTACTGCATATCTACACTATAACTAATTAAGAATATTTTCAGCTAAGAAGACATTGGAGTTACAAACATTTAGGTCTCTTGATGCTTTTATTGGTCCTCAGTTATACAATATTGCATCAACTGTAAGTGAACAATGTACAGTACACGCCTTGCAAAATGCACAACTGGCCAACACAGAAAATAAATTTATATATTTCAACAGGTTAAATTTGGCTTTCAAAACATCAGTAAGCAATATTTTTGTTTGTTGATTTACATTAAATATCTTTGAAACATATTAATAAATTATAATGCTTTTTATATATAAACATTTTAATATTTTCTTTTTCTATTCAATTTTTACCTTAAAACTGAAAGAAATATTTGCTCCAAAGTGGAAACAGTTTTAATCAGAAAATTTTAAAAATTTTAGGCACCAATAAATAGTTTAACTCCATCAGCAGCTATTAAACCAGAGGTTTTGACTATAATTGCGGGATTACATTCAGATAGAAAAAGGTAAAAAAATTATTACAAAATAAAGACTATTTTTAAAAATAGTGAATATAAGTTCCACATTATTTACAGCCTGGGCAATTATGGTGAAATCATTATTAAAACCTTAGATGAATATTGGATTACTGGAAAATCATCAAATGAAAGAGAATTCTATGTGGTTTTACAGAGGAAAAATGCTAATATAATTGAAGTAGCAGGTATTACACACCATAAACTATTACTTTTTTTGTAGAATTGAGTGACAAATGAGCACACAGTCCACCCGATGGTAAGTGGTTGCTGCGGCCCATAGACATCTACATCTATCCTCCATTAAAATCAAAATGCAGCATTGTCACCGGTGAGGAATGAGATGGAATGCCTCTTTGCCAGTAAAAAGGGTAGGGTCTCCGGTTCTCTACACTCACCATACGAAATACAGCAGCATTAAGCTATTATTTCACGCTGGTATTCTGTGAGAGTGTGGTCCTTCCCCGGTCAAGCCGACCCATTCATGCTACAACTATACTACTAATATAACTGCAGCATGGCTATACCATGTATAAAATTATTACTGCATTGCAATGCATATTACTGCAACATTTGTACATTATGTAAGAAACTGTGGTTTTTTACAATAATGTTTAATTTTAAAATACCTTTGTCTTTTCAATTGCAGAAGAAGTGAAACAAATATGTGAAGCACAAATGAAAGGCATTTTCTTTTATCCCATATGAAGATGTTTTAAAATTAGAAGATCATAAATAATAACAAATTCAGATATATTAAGTAATTTATTTATTATATTATATTACATATTACATTAGAATTATCTACAAAATTGTCTCTGTGTTTTATTGTCATTTTATGCTAATCTATGGATGTTTTTTGTTCTTTATTTTTAAACTTTGTGTATGATTTTATTATGAGGTCTCTATTTTCATAACCCCATGCAAGTAACACAAAGCATAAACAGATTCCTCCAATTACTATATGAGCAAACATTGCATACGGCATAATTCTATATTCTGAGATTTTGCAAATAATACCAGCTATGAATAAAGTCAATAAGAATTTTTTTCCTACATAGAGACCCTTTAGTGGTTTAAAATTAGTATCTTTATATTTATTGTTTATAAAATGAACACTATGTACAATTCTAGCAAACATATTGATACAATTAGATATGATAAAACCTACAGGTCCAAAGAAAAAAGTTAACACATAAGATAACACAAGAAAACTTATGGAAAAAATTACCATTAAATAATTATAACTATTAAGTTGTGCACTTGTCATTGTTGCAAAACAGTAGCATTCTGTAATACCATTAACAGCTAACAATATTATAGCTAAACAATGACTTCTAAGTAATTGAACTGACAATCCACTCTCAACAAAAGCTTCCCCACCATATAATGATAACAATGTTTTCGAATAACTCTGTCCAAATACAAACACAACTAATCCAATTGAACTCACTACCTTACACACATGAGACAGGACAACACATGATTCCTGTATTTTATTTTGATCTTGTTTATGAACAGGCAACTCACGCTTAACCATTTGGGTAAAATAGAAATAGCTACTGTCTTCAATAGGTCTGAACACAAATCTTGCTGCTAGACTACCAAGGTTGTTAACTACATCATAAGTTCCTTGTTCCTTAAATGACATTACTGGGCTCATTGACATTACATATTTCTCTCCTTCTGTCAACAATTGCTTCACAACACCTTGTTTAGCAAAGCTAATTGTTAAGGTACTTAATTTTTTGTTAAATAATGAATTGACGGAACCCGAGTATTTTGGCATAAAATCTTTTAATGATGTAAAGGTAAAATCATCCATATTATCAAATAATCTTAACATAACTGATTCTGGAACTAATTTACTTTTCAGAACCCCCTTAGCATATAGAGGTTTACTTTTTAGATACCAATAAAAGAAACCATAGTAACTTAAAACTATTGCCAAAATACTTCCCACTTGTGCTATTGAAAAGGCAATAAGAGCTAAAGATCTATCATATATGATAATACACACAAATAATAATGTTCTTACAAAAATATGAAGGGAGTCAAGAGCTACCCGAAGCTTGACAAAACAGAAAAGTTGTGCAACAAGGGCAACATTAGCTGAACATAACTCTAAAACACAAGAAAACGCAACTGACCAGCAGCCAAATGCATACTGAGATGCATATTCTGGATGGCCTAGAGGCAATATATCTATCCAAATATACACAAAAATTAGAGACAAAATACAGCTTATAGGTACTGATAACCAAATCTGATTTATAATATGGCTCCAATTAAATTCATCTTTCTGTCCTAAACAGGCCCTGTAAAAGGGTTCTCTACTCAAGAATAATATGGTACTTTCTAAAAGCAGTAACCTCACATTCATTATTCCCAGTACTTCATGTCCCACATTTCTTATCACCCAAGCATTTGTTATGAAAGTGATACACCGAAATAATATTTGAAGTAATATGTTAAAATATGCATTCTCTAGACTACTCATCAACAAATTTCGTCCCATCTTGACTTACTTTGTTTCGAGATTAAACTGCAATGGCATTTCCTTCAGTTGCAGCAGGTGTTATGGATCGCTTGACTACATATATCTTTTTATTTGATATACATATAGCATACCAATGATCATCATATGTTATTGATATTTTCTTGAATTTTTCATTTGGACCAAATGCCAATGGGTCAACACTGTAAACAGAAAATTATGACTGACCATAATGGAATTAGATCATACTTCCAACTTTAAAATACGTATCACTTACGTGTTTGACAGACTGATAAGATCAATTATTATTGTTGCAATACGTTCATCATTTTCCAGTTCACCAGCAGATTCAAGGACTGCACCGTCCTCTGTCAATATTAAATATCCGGTTTGGTCTGGAATTTTTTCCATTATAACTGAAATATTCACATATGAAATAGAATAAATCAATAAACAGAACTATGAACAGTATCCATCAAAATACTTTTTCAAACAGCAGGTCCTTGACTTGACGTATAACAAAAATCAAAATGTAATCTGTGGTAATCACAGACTAACTAGCATGAAGGTTGGAGAAATGGAAAACGATCGCCGTAGAAAATAGTGTCCCAGAAATATGGACACCATAAGTGAAGCGCTGCGATCGCTAAGTTCGGTCAGTAAAAGTCATTTTCAGCCTATTTTTCCGATCAGGTGCTAAACCGCTTGCACATCCATGCACAATAAATTATTTTCCATTTTTTAATGTTTCTTTTTGTCAAAAATTACAAAATTACGGAGCATGAAAATTTTCTCACCAATGCCGCGGAGAAAATTTGTACATTATTAAACTAACTTCATCTACTTTTACTCATAACTCTTCGCAGTCACTACTCACCGACGTCAGTGCCACTATAAATTCTACAATTTTCAAGGACAGGCGGGCTATGCTTTAGTACGTAGTGATCGTTCTCCTGTTCGCTAACCTTTATGCTAACTAGTATGAAACAGCAAAATAAATTAGTAGTAATCATAGAAAAATATATGTATTAGCTTATACCCCTATTACACTGCCCTGAATCGGGGTCCCTACGACCTGATTCAGGGTGGTGTAATAAGAGAAAAGGAGTAAGGGTCAATGATGGAATTTCATATATTACATGTGGGTGGCATGAACGGGTTATTTCCGGGGCCGGGTTATCTATTACATAAGATCTATTTGCCTATCGTAGCAACTTCGGTATCCAGTGAGTGAGGCTTCAGAGGCTGGAGCTACAGGAGATATCCAGGAGAGAACCCGCTTACTAGGCGCCAGGTTGTCTAAATTGTTATTTTAAAATTCAATTCGAAAGAAATAAACGTAAAAGTAAAAAATATTTAATTAGTTCTTGTTTTCTGATAATTATTCGATAAAATGAAATGTGTAAAAATAAATAGTGTAAAACGTAAAATAACATAAATATTATGTTTGATTATTATACTTCTTTGTTTAATTTCTGTTCAAAATAATTATTTATTCCATATATATGTATGTACTAGCTGGTACCCGCGACTTCATCTACGCAGGATTAGTATTTCGGGTAGCTTATATTAGCATGGCGTAGAAAAGATCTTACATTATGACATTAAAATTATGACATAATTTTTGGTTCCAGTAGACCCAACCTCATCCACCGTGCGTTGTACCACCCGCCCCGCCCCCACACCATTCGTCCGCGACCGCCAGCGGCACCGTGCCATATGTGTAACTCTAGCGGTTTTGGCAGCGCACGCCAGAATAGCTCGAAGTTGGTAGATTTTTACCTACTTACTTGTCACTTATCGTCATATTTTGGACAATTCACATCTTTACAAATTATAAATTATATCATGTGTATTATTCTAATGTATAAACTATATTGTTTTAGTTTCATTAAAATCCATTCAGTAGTTTTTAGGTGAAAGAGTAACAAACATTCATACTTACAAACTTTCGCGTTTATAATATTATATTAATATTATACTGTATTAAACTACTATATTTGGTTACTGTAGTATATCTACGTTGTATTTGTAAGTAGATGTAAGTATTACTTATCCTATAATCAAATAAACAAAAATAAAACAATTGTAATACAACTGAAATTAAAATAAAAAGTAATCTATATTTCTACTTAAATTATACTAACTAAAAATAATCATTATACCTACCTACTGTACTAAATAATAAATCTCTTCGAGAATCGAATTAGCTGTAAGAAAGGATGCAAACTGAACATAACCGTCAACGACGTCTGCCCTCCGCATCTGCCCGCATTCGTGCCGCGCACTCGGCGATCACGTGTCATTACTTGGACCGCCTCTCCACCCCCGCCTTGCGCTGGTGCTCCATTTATGTCAATCTTATCGTGATAACTTTTAAACTATTCGTCCAAATTACTTTGTGTAAAAGACAAAGTTCATCTACATTAAATATTGAAAGCGAAAAATGTATCAATTTTGATAATAATTTGATAAATACTCTAAAATATGAATTGTAAAAAAGTATCGAATTTGATTGCATTTATGGCTCGCTATTTTGGATATAATGGCTTCCACATAAAAGATATGCTGTCGCGAACTTCAATTTCGAACCACTTAACAGTACGTTGGCACTGAGAAACATCCAGCACGTAATGTTTTTAACTTTTTGAGCACCAACGTCGCCTATACTTGACCAGCACTTGCGGGCCCTGAGCGCCAACGATGTCTATAGTTGACAAAAATCCCGGCTCACATGTATATGAAGTACAGATATTAGAAAATGATTACTGGTATTTTAATTCTACACTCCATAAATTGGAATAACTCAGAAACATGTGAGTATAAAAAAACAAGTCTCCTAGAAGTCAGATGAAGCTGTAAGAGTCGCATCAAATACATCGCGCGCAAGTACTACGAAACATTGAACTAAAAAAATGGATTTTTATCTAAGCAAATACTATGTCCTGCATGCCAAGGTCGTCGTCGTTTGGACACTATGGTTGACCACTAGTGTCCAAAATTCAGCTCAACGTGTTGAATAAAAGCTAAATTTACGGATTCTATCGCGTTTATTTAACAGATTTTACTTATTTTTAATTCCCGACGTTTCGGGTGCTTTACAGCACCCGTGGTCACGGGAGGGGGGGACTGAGATGTTTGACATCCCAATGTCATTGTTAGCCCGGCTACCTTCAGTTTTTGAATATTAATTTTTTGGTCCGATTTACGC